CGCGTGGCAGGGGACTGCTAGTAACAAATATTAATGTGCCTCCGAATTGTCAATTTAACATTCTTCTTCCACTTTATGCACAGAAAATTGTTTCCTTCTGTTCGTTTTAACGTTTATGGCTGAGGGGGGAAAGGAAGGGGCCTGAGGCTGTTAGGAATGGTGAGAGTTGAAGTCCAAAACACCCAAGTTGGCTCATGCCTGGTGTGCTGGCATGGCTGTGCCAGGAGATTTGAATTCCTTTTCTTGCACTGTTTTGTTTGAATTTATTTGGCCCTTGCATTTTGCAATTGGGTAGCTTTCCCCAGGTTGCAGTCATAGGGCCAACAACCAATCAATCATCGTTAGAGCCTTTAGATCCGCCCCTTTCCCCAGGTTTGGAAGGAAAAGGGGACTTTTTGTTCAGTCTCACAGTTTGGAGCCTTGCAGCAGGACGTGTGGGCTTTTCTCTGTCCCGCCTGTAAAAAGCTTCACTTCTTACAGCTTTGCTGGAGAGTAAAGTTACAGCAAAGCCTAGAGAAGACAATGATGCTGGGGAAAGTGGAAGGTAAAAGGAAGAGGGGCCGACCAAGGGCAAGATGGATGGATGGCATCCTTGAAGTGACTGGACTGACCTTGAAGGAGCTGGGGGTGGTGACGGCTGACAGGGACCTCTGGCGTGGGCTGGTCCATGAGGTCACGAAGAGTCAGAGACTACTGAATGAATGAACAACAACAACAAAGTTACAGTTCCACAGCTTTGCTGGGAGAATATAGCCAGCTTTGCTGGAAAATAAAGGAATGGTTCCACATCCTTCATGGGGCAAATTTACAGGACACCAGCTTGGCAGATCTACAGAAACCATTGCCTGGTAAGGGACCACTCGGGCTATCCATAACGCAGCTTGGAGCCGGGAGTTGGGGCCTCACACCAGCAGGGTTAAGAAAGATTGCCCAAGGAGGGGTCGGAAGGTTTCCCTAAAGAGGAAAGGAACAGTTTATCAAGCAGTTGCCTGTCCCTTGTCAGCAGATCGAGAAAGCTACTAGTTTTTCAAGATTATATAGCTGTTGCAATCCAGAGCAGGAAACGAGGCCCTAAGATAACTATCCACCACACTTGACTGTGAAAAACAATCCTTTTTTATTGAAGTAAAATGGTTACAAAATAAAGGAAAAATGCAAAGTCAAAAGCCACAGCAAAATCAGCAAACATGAATTTAAATGGACAAAGCAAAACCCAAAGCCACACTGTAAAATACTGGAACCTGTTAGCAATCCACTAACCGTACTTGATATCCTAGAAATCTTTCAAGACGATGGCCAGGGAAACCGGGAGAACTGCCAAGGTCTTCATCAATCTGAAACGATGCCTGAACTGAGAAAGTCAGCCCGGCAGAAGGCACTTAAAGCCAAAGAATTGGTTCCGTGAACCGCCTCCCTGCTTTGAAGCCGTTGTTTGTATTTCTTTTAATCGGGAAGACCTTCGCAAGCTGAGTGATTTACTCCTGTCTTGCCAGATCTGGCCCCTTCTGTTCTCATTAAGGTTCCCAGGTGCAGAAGGGAGGGAAAGGTCATGGCTTCCCTCTGAAACATTCTCATGAACGTTCTTGTGGGTTTTTCGGGCATATGGCCATGTTCTAGAGGCATTTTCTCCTGACGTTTCGCCTGCATCTATGGCAAGCATCCTCAGAGGGCTGCTGGAGCTGGGAAAAAGGGTTTATATATCTGTGGAATGACCAGGGTGAGACAAAGGGCTTTTGTAAGTTGGGCTAGGTGTGAATCTTTCAACTGACCACCTTGATTAGCATACAATGGGCTGACTGTGCCTGGAGCAAACTCTTCTTGAAAGGTGATTAGATTTCCCTGCCTGTTTTTCTCTCTGCTGTTTTATTTTAGATTTTTTAATACTGGTAGCCAGATTTTGTTCATTTTCATGGTTTCTCCTTTCTGTTGAAATTGTCCACATGCTTGTGGATTTCAATGGCTTCTCTGTGTAGTCTGACATGGTGGTTGTTGGAGTGGTCCAGCATTTCTGTGTTCTCAAATAAAATGCTGTGTCCAGGTTGGTTCATCAGGTGCTCTGCTATGGCTGACTTCTCTGGTTGAAGTAGTCTGCAGTGCCTTTCATGTTCCTTGATTCGTGTTTGGGCAATGCTGCGTTTGGTGGTCCCTATGTAGACTTGTCCACAGCTGCATGGTATACGGTAGACTCCTGCAGAGGTGAGAGGATCCCTCTTGTCCTTTGCTGAACGTAGCATTTGTTGGATTTTCCTGGTGGGTTTGTAGATTGTTTGTATGTTGTGTTTCCTCATCAGCTTCCCTATGCGATCAGTGGTTCCCTTAATGTATGGCAGGAACACTTTTCCTCTGGGTGGATCTTCATCTTTACTCTCGTGGCTTGTTTTTGGTCTTGCAGCTCTTCTGATGTCTGAGGTGGAGTATCCATTGGCCTGGAGAGCCCAGTTGAGGTGGTTCAGTTCATCTTGGAGGAGGTGGGGTTCACAGATTCTTTTTGCACGGTCTGCCAAGGCTTTAATGGTGCTTCTTTTTTGACTTGGGTGATGGTTGGAGTTTTTATGTAGATATCTATCTGTGTGTGTGGGTTTTCTGTAAACGGTGTGACCCAATTGTTGATCTGGTTTGCGGATGACTAGGACATCTAGAAAAGGCAGTCTTCCTTCCTTTTCTTTTTCCATGGTGAACTGGATGTTAGGGTGGATGCTGTTAAGATGTTCCGGGAACCTGTTGAGTTCTTCATCTCCATGGCTCCAAATGGTGAAAGTGTCATCCACATATCTGAACCATATAGTGGGCTTTTTGGTTGCTGTTTCAAGAGCTTGTTTTTCAAATTGTTCCATGTAGAAGTTAGCTATGACTGGGCTGAGAGGGCTCCCCATAGCTACTCCATCTTTCTGTTCATAGAATTCATTGTCCCACTGAAAATAGCTGGTGGTGAGGCAATGGTGAAACAGCGCCGTGATGTCTTCTGGGAACCTCTGGTTGATGAGTGCCATGGTGTCTGCAACTGGGACCATGGTAAATAGAGACACCACATCGAAGCTGATCAGTTTGTCCTTTGTATTTAGCTTGAGATTGCTGATTTTTTTTCAATGAAGTGGGCTGAGTCCTTGATGTAGTGTGTTGTGAGCCCAATGTGGCTTTGTAACTGTGCAGCAAGAAATTTGGCTAAGTCATATGTGGGGGACCCAATGGCACTCACGATTGGTCTGAGTGGGGTGGAGTCCTTATGGATTTTGGGGAGTCCATAAAGCCTGGGTGGAAGGGCTTCCGATTTACATAGCTGCTGTCGTATGTCGAAGTTGATTGAGGAGTTTTTAATTAGAGTGTTGGTTTTTCTGGTTATTTTGGAAGTTGGGTCTTGCTTAAGTTTTCTGTATATAGTAGGGTCCAGGAGTTTTCTGATCTTCTCCTTGTATTGCTCTGTATGCATGATGACTGTGGCATTCCCCTTGTCTGCTGGCAGAATGAGGATATCAGGATCTGAATTTAGGTCTCTAATGGCTTCTCTTTCCTTCCTAGTAATGTTACTGGAGGGGAGTTTTGCCTTTTTCAGGATCCTTGCTGCTTCCGCTCGTACTTCTTCTGCTTCCTCCTCTGGGAGGCGGTAAATTGCTGATTCGACATTGGCAATGATGTTTTCTACTGGGATCCTGGTGGCGGTTACAGCAAAGTTTCCTCCTTTCGCTAGTATGGATACTTGGTCTTCAGAGAGTTGTCTGTCTGTCAGGTTGATGATGGTCCGTGATGTATCCAGTTCTGGTTTCGGCTGTTGCTTTTGTCGTTTGTGGAATTTTTGTTTTTGTCTGTTGGTGTGGACAACCATGTTTTTCGACAATACATTCTCCTTCGACAATACATTCTCATGAACACTGGTACTTTCATTTTCCAAATCTACAGAAGTTTCTTCCTCACTAATTTCAGCATTGGCATCAAGAGGTACATTTTCATTAGCATCAGTAAATATATTTTCATTAGCATCAGGAGGAACAAACAGAGAATCAGGTTCAAGTTCAAACTCAGGCTGAACCCCAACAATAGCATTTAATTCATTTGTTCGAAGATTTAAGCCTTAATAAAGAACTTTGTTGGACTTATTTTGAGCCTCTACAGAACTTTGTGTTGGGAAACCTATGGGACCCTTTAGCTGAGGCACCCCGGCATCCCGTTGGGAATACACAGAAAGCATGTCCTGTAAACAGACATTGTCATAGGCCCAGCGCGCGACAGCACACCTGGTCTAATGTGAAGTAGAGGGTGTTTTGAATGGTTTGGAAGGAGCTGGCCTTCTGTGGGGTGGTTCGTCAAAGCACAGTGCTATCAATGTCAGGATTATTGAAAGTATGCATGTATGTTTTTCCAATGTGTTTCAATATGATTAACTATGGTGTTCATATGTATTCAAGATGGATTCAGTTATGTTCAATTGTATGCTGGAATTGTTGTTGTGAGAGACAGAGAGGTAGAGAGAGAAGAGACCTTGGCAGAAGTAAGATAACAAGTTCTCTCTGTCTGGGAAGGATTAGGGAGTATCCGGCTTACAGCCAAAGAGAAACTGATAAGCAGATGTTCTGTAACCGTACTATAGTTGTGCTTTGTAGTTCCTGTTGTAGTTCCTGATTTTGCCCGCTTAGAAGAAGACGTGTATTAAGATGTGCTAAGTAAACTTGATGTTATTTCTGAAACTGGAAGACTGCAGTGTCCTGTTTTGTGTCTGTGTGATCTAGTAACCTCATATCCACTGCGCATAGACCCCAGGGTCTCACTCTGATAATCAAAACATAAGAATCGTAATAATCAGGTGTGATGAGGAGAGGATGCATCCCATCTTAATATAATACACAGCCAGTCCTAAAAAAATATGGGTTGCATACTGATGTAAATGGAGTATATCTCAATGTGATAATGTCCTAATCGTATGGCACGCCTCCTATTTCTTTTGTGGGTTCCAACGCATGCTCCCCATAACCCTTTTTCAAAACGTCTCTGACTCTTCCTTTGGGCAGGAGATCCTCACCGGACACACAGACAAAGTGACCGCCGCCAAGTTCAGGTCCACCCGGCACCAGGCCGTGACTGGCAGCCGCGACCGGACTGTGAAGGAGTGGGATTTGAACAAAGGAGCATGTGAGTAACAAAGGGCCCTCCGATATGGTGCAACCAGATAGCCACACTCCATGGCAGAGGTATCACTTGGGGCCATTGGTCAGGAAGGCTTATAGAATCATAGAATAATAGAGTTCGAAGATACCACATGGGCCGTCTAGCCCAACCCCTTGTCATGCAGGGAAACACAATCAAAGTATCCCTGACAGATGGCCATCTAGCCTCTGATTAAAATTTCCAATGAAGGAGCTTCCACCGGACTCTGGACAGAGAGTTCCACTGTTGAACAGCTTGTACAAGGAGCCTGAGTAGAGCACATGGTGAACATGAGCCAACAGTGTGATGCAGCAGCTGAAAAAGCCAATGCGATTCTAGTCTGCATCCATAGAATATAGTATCTAGATTGAGGGAAGTCATAGACCCACTCTATTCTGTGTTGGTCAGGTCTCTTCACCTGGAATCACACGGTGTCCAATTCTGGGCAAAACAATTCAAGAGGGATATTGACTCTAAGCTGGAACGTATCCAGAGGAGGGTGACTAAAAGGATCAAAAGCCATCCACTTGTGACACTGATGGAGTACTTCCTCATTCTTATGCATGCTGCTGGAGATTTTTATGATGTCGTAAATTAGTTAAATTAGCCTCTCTGCATGAGTACCTAAATTTCCTACTTGACAGATTCAACTGTCTTTCTGGCTGCAAAGGTCTACAGCAAGCTAGACAAATGGTCGGGAGCTTACTCTGACCCAGGTTGGCTTTGAACTTATGACCTTTTGGTCAGTAGTGATTTTTAATGCAGCTGACTCCAAACCAGCTGAGCCAGACCCAGTCTTATCCTCTGGCGGCCTTTACACAGAGGCTGGATGGCCATCTCTTGGACCGTCTTTCTGTTTGGCTGATTGGGCTGGGGTCTCTTCTGACCCTAGGAGTCTCTGGCCCTAGGGGCCCATTTTGGCTTTGTGATTCCTATATTAAACCTTCCCGATGGAGACCCATTTGCTCCCTCTCTCCTCCTGGCAGGTTCCAGGACCATTGATGTCTTCTCCTACTGCAACGATGTGGTATGCTGTGGGACCATCATCGTCAGCGGGCACCACGACAAGACCATCCGCTTTTGGGACAGCAGGTGGGTCTACACATGGATTTCATTGTACACCTCCCTGCAGACTTTGGATACAGGACGGGATGATGTACAGGCCGTCCCCAAGTCACAAACATCTGACCACAATGGCTCATTGACTGTCATTGTGGCGAAGGTTAGAGATGAGCGTCCTCATTCCGTTTCCTTCCAAGTGTGAAGTTCACTATGTACAAGAGTTATCCAGAAAGTAAGGTTGCAAGGCATGTAGCTCTTGCGGGGAATTTTCTTGGGGGAAGTTGGTCTCACTGCTGTGTAGTGTGAAGCCAGTGGACGCGAACAAGCAGTGCCAGTTGTCAGTAGCTCATTGACTGTCACTCTGGTGAAGGTTAGAGGTGAGCGTCCTCATTCCGTTTCCCTCCAAGTACAAAGTTCATGCTGTATAAGGTTATCTGGAAAGTAAGGTTACAAGGCATGTAGCTCTTGTGGGGAATTTTCACAGGGGAAGTTGGTATCACTGCCATGTAGTGGGAAGCCAGTGGAAGTGAATGAGCAGTACCAGTCATCAGTAGCTCATTGAATGCGTTGTGGTGAAGGTTAGAGATGAGCGTCCTCATTCCGTTTCCCTCCAAGTGTGAAGTTCACTGTGTACAAGAGTTATCCAGAAAGTAAGGTTACAAGGCATGTAGCTCTTGCGGGGTATTTTCACGGGGGAAGTTGGTATCACTGCTGTGTAGTGGGAAGCCAGCGGAAGTGAATGAGCAGTGCCAGTCGTCAGTGGCTTATCGACTGCCATTGTGGTGAATGTTAGAGATGAGCTTCCTCATTCTGTTTCTCTCCAAGTGTGAAGTTCATGCTGTACAAGGATTATCTGGAAAGTAAGGTTACACGGCATGTAGCTCTCACGGGGAATTTTCACGGGGGAGTTGGTATAACTGTCGTGTAGTGGGAAGCCAGTGGAAGTGAATGAGTAGTGCCAGTCGTCAGTGGCTTATCGACTGCCATTGTGGTGAATGTTAGAGATGAGCTTCCTCATTCTGTTTCTCTCCAAGTGTGAAGTTCTGCTGTACAAGGATTATCTGGAAAGTAAGGTTACACGGCATGTAGCTCTCACGGGGAATTTTCACGGGGGAGTTGGTATAACTGTCGTGTAGTGGGAAGCCAGTGGAAGTGAATGAGCAGTGCCAGTCGTCAGTGGCTTATCGACTGCCATTGTGGTGAATGTTAGAGATGAGCTTCCTCATTCTGTTTCTCTCCAAGTGTGAAGTTCTGCTGTACAAGGATTATCTGGAAAGTAAGGTTACACGGCATGTAGCTCTCACGGGGAATTTTCACGGGGGAGTTGGTATAACTGTCGTGTAGTGGGAAGCCAGTGGAAGTGAATGAGCAGTGCCAGTCGTCAGTAGCTCATTGATTGGCATTGCGATGAAGGTTAGAGATGAGCGTCCTCATTCCGTTTCCCTACAAATGCAAAGTTCTCAGTGCTGTATACGCTACCGAAATTCTCAGGGCATGAATGCCGTTGTGATTTGTCGTGAAATCGTTTCAGTTTATGGAGAGGACATAATGTCATGACAGCATGTGACAAATTGGCAGGGAATATATTGTGAGACCAGGAAGGAATGCCACAGAGCTATCCAAAACAAACGTCGTGGGATGCTGATGGCGGGAGTCTGTCTCCTTCATGGCATCCACACACAGCTCATGCAACACAAGAGTTGTTGATTTCCTTTGATGGGGATGTTTGAAGCAACCCCCCTCACAGCCCTGATCTCACACCCAGTGACTATCATCTGTTCATCTGCTACCTGTTTGTGCAGGGATGTCCGCTGCACGCAGGTGATCCCTGTGGAAGGTACAGTCACCTCCCTGAGCATCAGTCCGGACCAGATGCACCTCCTGAGCTGCTCCAGAGACAACGCCCTCAAAGTCATTGACCTGCGCATGCACAACGTCCGGCAGGTGCTCAGGTGAGCAGACCTTGACTGCTGGCCTTGGGAGTTGTAGGCTTTATGTTCAACTTAGAGTGATCCTAAGGTAGGCATGGACCAACTTGGGCCCTCCAGGTGTTTTGGACTTCAACTCCCATCATTCCTAACAGCCTAATGGCTGTTAGGAATGGTGGGAGTTGGAGTCCAAAACACCTAGAGGGCCCAAGTTGGCCCATACCTGCCTTAAGGTAAACTAACCTTTATATGGAGAAGGTTTTGCTCTTGGTGTTTCACCAAACTACAGCTCCCAAGATCCCAAAGCATTGAAATACAACCATTAAAGTGGAGACAAACTGCATATTATATTATATTATATATACTGTCCTGTTTGTTTTCCTCCTTAGGGCTGATGGCTTCAAGTGTGGTTCAGATGGGACCAAAGCGGTCTTCAGGTGAGAGTCGGATAGTTCACGGGAAATCCTGATGCTCATGTTTAATTCAGCTTCTCCCAATTGAATGCCTCTTGGATTCATTGAATTACCACTCCATCACAGGGAGAAGTGTTGTTCCTCTCCTACTCTTTCACTTCCTTTTCTTTCACTTCCTTCTTCTCAACTTTCACTTTCTTCACCTTCTAACCATTTTCATCTTCACCTTTTCTTCCTCCTTTGCCCTCTTCCACACTTTTAGCTTCACTTTCACCTTTTCCTCTTTTTACTTCCTTCTTCACCTTTTCTTCTCTTTCACTTTCACATTCTTCTCCTTCACCTTCTTCTTCACCTTCTTCGCCTTCAGTTTCTCTTCCTTCTCCTTCATTTTCTCATTCATTTTCATCTTCTGCTCCTCTTTCTCTTTCATTTTCTCCTTTATTTTCACCCTCCTCTCTTTCTCTTTAACGTTCTCCTCCTTCACCTTCTCCTTTGCCTTCAACTTCACCTTCTTTCCACCTTCAGATTCTTCTTCTCTTCCTTTTGCTTCTTGTTCACCATCTCCTTCTTGTCCTTCAACTTCTCCTTCATATTCACCTTCCTCTCTCTTTAACTTTCCCTCCTTCACCTGCTTCTTTGCCTTCTACTTCACTTTCTTCTCCACCAGATTCTCCATCTCATCCTTCTTGTTCTTGATCTCTTTATCCTCTTTCACCTTCTCCCTCGTTTTCACCTTCTTCTCTTTCTCTTTAACATTCTCCGCCTTCACCTCTCCTACTTCACCTTTAGGTTCCCATTTCCTTCTTCTCCACTTTCAGATTCTCCTCCTTCACCATCCCCTTCTCTTTCTTGTCCTTTGACTTCTCCTTCACTTTCACCTTCACCCTTTCACATTTAACTTCTCCTTCACCTTTCACCCTTTCACATTTAACTTTGCCTTCACCTTCCTCACCTTCACCTTCACTTCCACCTCCACCAACTAGGAGGACAGTTTGGGAATATGTATTGTCGAAGACTTTCATGGCTGGAATCAATGGCTTGTTGAAGGTATTTTGGGCTATATGGCCATGTTCTAGAAGCATTCTCTCCTGACATTTCACCTGCATCTATGGGAACATCTTCAGAGGTTGTGAGGTCCTCAGAGGTTGTGAGGACCTTCCAACCTCTGAGGATGCTTGCCATAGATGCAGGTGAAACATCAGGAGTGAATGCTTCTAGAACATGGCCAGACAGCCCAAAAAACCTACAACAATCCAGTTTGGTAATAGTTTGGGAACCTGGATAAGAGATGCTCAACCTGTGTAGCTTCTTGTGTCTCCATCGTATTCTCCAAAAGGAGAGTAAGATGGGTCTTGTTGGAGTCCCAGGTTGAGTTCCTGGCTAATCTCCCCTCCTTTGCTTTGCTTCCAGCCCAGATAAGAGCTATGCCATGGTTGGATCCACAAATGGAAGCCTCTTCATCTGGAACATGGGGACCGGGAAGCTGGAGACCACTTTGTCCGGAGAGCATTGGTGAGGGCTCTCTTCGTGGTTGGAAAGACCCAAAACCATCAGGTTTGGGCCAGAGAGTTGTGGGATATATGAAGGCGATGCACACATACAGAGTTTGGATGGCTTGCAAGTTGACTTTCCTTAGATTTTGCATATGGTGATGATGATAACAATATATGTTGATGAGTGCAAAGCACTACGGTAGGCTTGGCCATTGTTTATTTCACTACTAGCTTCGGCACCTGGCATTGCTCAGATTAGGTGTTGCATAGTGTCATGGGACCATTTATAGAATCATTCAGGTTGTGTAGTGAAGGGATGAATGAAACATACACAATTCAAAGCTCTGGAGATCTTGTAATAAGGTGCCACAGGGAGATAGAGTCATGGGTTCATAGAGCTGGAAGAGACCACAAGGATCAGCCATTCCAAGAAATGCCCCATTGCTCCTTATTGTTGTGTGCCTTATTGTTGTGTACTTTGCAAAACTACAACTCCCAAAGTGCCTCTCCGCTGTCGAATGGCACCACTTTAATTGCTATGGAATCATGGGAGTTATAGTTGACACTGATACTAATATAGACACTAATACACTAGCAGAGAAGGCTAAATACTTTGCAAAACTACAACTCCCAAGGTGCATTTACAATGCTGAATTAATGCAGTTTGACACAATTTAATTGCTATGGAATCATGGGAGCTATAGTTGGATGAGGCACTAATACTTTAGCAGAGAAGGCTAAATACTTTGCAAAACTACAACTCCCAAGGTGCCTCTATGCTGTTGAATGAATGCAGTTTGGAACCACTTTAACTGCTAAGGAACCATGGGAGTTACAGTTGGATGAGACACTAATACTGTAGCAGGGAAGGCTAAATACTTTGCAAAACTACAACTCCCAAGGTGCATTTACGCTGTTGAATGAATGCAGTTTGGCACCACTTCAATTGCTAAGGAATCATGGGAGCTATAGTTGGATGAGGCACTGATACTCCAGCAATTAAAGCGAAATACTTTGCAAAACTACAACTCCCAAGGTGCATCTACACTATCGAATGAATGTAGTTTGGCGCTACTTTAACTGCTATAGAATCATGGGAGCTATAGTTGGATGAGGCACTAATACAGTACAAGAGAAGGCTAAATACTTTGCAAAAATTCAACTCCCAAGGTGCCTCTTTAATGTTGAATGAATGCAGTTTAGAACCACTTCATTTGCTAAGGAATCATGGGAGCTATAGTTGGATGAGACACTAATACTCTAGCAGAGAAAGCTAAATACTTTGCAAAACTACAACTCCCAAGGTGCATCTTCACTGTGGAATGAATACAGTTTGTCATAGGAGCTATAGTTGGATGAGGCACTAATACTGTAGCAGAGAAGGCTAAATGCTTCTCTCTCACCTCGAATGGAGGTGAGAAGACCAATATTCAAAACTGCTAAATAAATAAATAAATAAATAAATAAATAAAAACTACAACTCCCAAGGTGCATCTACACTGTTGAATGAATGCAGTTTGGCACCACTTTAACTGCTAAGGAATCATGGGAGTTGTAGTTGGATGAGGCACAAATACTCCAGCAGTGAAGGCTAAATACTTTGCAAAACTACAACTCCCAAGGTGCATCTACACTATCGAATGAATGTAGTTTGGCGCTACTTTAACTGCTATAGAATCATGGGAGCTATAGTTGGATGAGGCACTAATACAGTACAAGAGAAGGCTAAATACTTTGCAAAACTTCAACTCCCAAGGTGCCTCTTTAATGTTGAATGAATGCAGTTTAGAACCACTTCATTTGCTAAGGAATCATGGGAGCTATAGTTGGATGAGACACTAATACTCTAGCAGAGAAAGCTAAATACTTTGCAAAACTACAACTCCCAAGGTGCATCTTCACTGTGGAATGAATACAGTTTGTCATAGGAGCTATAGTTGGATGAGGCACTAATACTGTAGCAGAGAAGGCTAAATGCTTCTCTCTCACCTCGAATGGAGGTGAGAAGACCAATATTCAAAACTGCTAAATAAATAAATAAATAAATAAATAAATAAAAACTACAACTCCCAAGGTGCATCTACACTGTTGAATGAATGCAGTTTGGCACCACTTTAACTGCTAAGGAATCATGGGAGTTGTAGTTGGATGAGGCACAAATACTCCAGCAGTGAAGGCTAAATACTTTGCAAAACTACAACTCCCAAGGTGCATCTACACAGTCAAATGAACGCAGTTTGAGAACACTTTGGCTGCTGAAACAATCCTGGCAAAGGGTTCTGCAGCTGAATGGCCAACCACATGCCCAGAGAAACAGCATGGATTCTGCAGAGATCCTGCCGGTCCATGGATTCACATAATGCGTTTCATTGTTTCTTTGCTCCAGGTCTCCCGTAAACGCTGTGGCTTGGAGTTCCTCCGGAACATACGTGGGGAGCGTGGACCGTTGCAGGAAGTTGGTTCTGTGGAGATAGCGCCGGATTTACGGACCCCTTCTGCCTCTCCAAGCTGGCCTTGCTTTGGACTTCTGGGCATCCATGAATTTTTGCAAGAGGATGGGATAAATTCTTGCTAATTGCTGTCTGCTCCTACTTGGCCAGTGCTGACCTCTGTTCACATCTCTGCTCAGGTCGTGCAGACTCCTGGATTCCATGAATGAAATCGTTTCCATCTGTAGCGCAACCTCTCTTTTCCTACCACTGCCGGGTTCTTTCTAATTGTTGTTGGCCAAAGGAAAAATAACCGGAAAACAGGATCATGCTGTGATGAGAGGATTAGACCTGGAGAGGCACCCGTTCTGATTTGTAGTCTTCCAAGAAACTATTCTGGGAGAGCCATGCTTGCAGTGTAACTGGAATGTTAGGAAGGAGGGAATGAGAGGGAGGGAGGGAGGGAGGGAAAGAAGGAAAGAGGAAGGAACTGAAGTGTTAGGAAGGAGGAAAGGATGGATGGATGGATGGATGGATGGATGGATGGATGGATGGATGGAAGGAAGGAAGGAAGGAAGGGTTCTGATTTTCAGTTTTCCAAGAAACTATTCTGGGAGAGCCATGCTTGCAGTGTAACTGGAATGTTAGGAAGGAGGGAATGAGAGGGAGGGAGGGAGGGAAAGAAGGAATGAGGAAGGAACTGAAGTGTTAGGAAAGATGGGATGGATGGATGGATGGATGGATGGAAGGAAGGAAGGAAGGAAGGAAGGAAGGAAGGAAGGAAGGAAGGAAGGAAGGAAGGGAGGGAGGCAGGAGGAGGAGGGAGGAAAAAAGAAGGAAGAAAGGAAGAAGGAAGAAGGAAGAAGGAAAATTTAGGAAGGGAGGGTAGTAAGAAGGAATGAAGGAAGGGTAGTGGAAGGAAAGAAGGATAGTGTTAAGGAAGAAAAGGAAAGAAGGAATGAGGGGGCGTGTTAGGAAGGGAGGAAGGGTAGTGTTAAGAAGGAAGAAAAGAAAGAGAAAGAAAGAAAGAAAGAAAGAAAGAAAGAAAGAAAGAAAGAAAGAAGGAGGGTTAGGAAGGAAGGAAAGGTGTTAAGGAAGGGAAGAAGGAATGATAGTGTTAAGAAGGAAAGAGAGGGGAAGGAAAGAAGGAATGAAAGGAAGAAGGAAGGCTGAGTGAAGGAGGAAGGAAGGAAAGGAGGAAGAGGAAAAGGAGGAAGGAAGGAAGGAAGGAAGGAAGGAAGGAAAGAAAGAAAGAAAGAAGAAAGAAAGAAAGAAAGAAAGAAAGAAAGAAGGAAGGAAGGAAGGGGTGTTAAGGAAGGGAAGAAGGAATGATAGTGTTAAGAAGGAAAGGAGAGAGGGAGGAAAGAAGGAATGAGGGGAAGTTAGGAAGGATAGGAAGGGTAGTGTTAAGAAGGATGGAAGGAAGGAAAGGAGGAATGAAGGAAAGTGTTAGGAAGGAAGGAAGGAAGGAAGGAAGGAAGGAAAGAAAGAAAGAAAGAAAGAAAGAAAGAAAGAAAGAAAGAAAGAAAGAAATAGTGTTAAGGAAAGGAAGAAGGAATGATAGTGTTAAGAAGGAAAGGAGGGAGGGAGGAAAGAAGGAATGAAGGGAAGTTAGGAAGGGTAGGAAGGGTAGTGTTAAGAAGGATGGAAGGAAGGAAAGGAGGAATGAAGGAAAGTGTTAGGAAGGAAGGAAGGAAGGAAGGAAGGAAGGAAAGAAAGAAAGTAAAAAAAAAAAAGAAAGAAAGAAAGAAAAAGAAAGAAAGAAAGAAAGAAAGAAAGAAAGAAAGAAAGGGTGTTAAGAAAGAAGGGAAGAAAGAATGATTTTGCTTTTCCCACATTGTTTTTCCCAGTGTGCTTTTCCCACATTGTTGGTCCACCAAGAAGTAGTATAGTGCAGTAGTAATTGGACTTGGATCCAAGGGCTTCGCATTCAGATTTCCAGTCTGCCAAGGAAATTTTGGGGTGTGGTGTTCTTTCATACTATGGTTGGTTTTAGTGACAGAACTCTAGCAAAAATGAGAGAGAGGAGGAGGAGATGGAGAAGAAGCCTACGACTGTTATAATATAGGTTTGAATGACCAAGCAAAAGTGGAAAAACGGGAAATAAAAATGGCAAACACTGCTATTTTTAACGAGAGAGGTTGCTTTTTCTGTGCACTTGATATTCTGTCATTACAGTACCGGAGCCCCAGGTGGCGCAGTGGGTTAAACCCCTATGCCAGCAGGACTGAAGACCGACAAGTCGCAGGTTCGAATCCGGGGAGAGGCGGATGAGCTCCCTCTATCAGCTCCAGCTCCTCATGCGGGGACATGAGAGAAGCCTCCCACAAGGATGATAAAAACATCAAATCATCCAGGGCGTCCCCTGGGCAACGTCCTTGCAGATGGCCAATTCTCTCACACCAGAAGCGGCTTGCAGTTTCTCAAGTCACTCCTGACATGACCAAAAAAAAAAAATTACAGTACCACTATTACACCATCCCTCCACATTTGCTAGGATTCTCCAGTGCAACTCTATACAGACTCTAGGGCAGGCATGGGCAAACTTGGGCCCTCCGTGTGTTTTGGGCACCAACTCCCACCATTCCTAATAACCTACCATCAAATTGTGTTACGATTTTACAAATTAAGTGACAAATCAACGGAAAAAGCAGTTCAATACACAGTAATGTTCTGTAGTAATTACTGTGTTTATAAATTTAGTACCAAAACATTGCTATGTATTGAAATATTGGATAATATAGAATGTTGGATGAATGAAGGTTGGATAAGCAAGACTCTACTGTGTGTGGGGGGGGGGCAAGTGGTGTGTGTGACGTATATATTTGTGAAATAATGTCCAGGGTGGGAAAAAGAACCCTTGTGTGTTCAAAGCAAGTGTGAATGTTGCAGTTGGCAAGCTTGAATGAGCATTTCAGTAGCCATTAAGTTTGCAAAGTCAATCAGTGAGGGTATTTGCACAGGGATGACCTGGCCTCTGTTGCCTGGAGGCACCCCTGTTTGTTAGGTGTTAACTGACACTTGATTGTTGGAGTTGTCTGTTTCTGAGTGTAATCAAGACAGTAAATAAAGAACACTTCTCCGAAACAGGAGAACTTCAGACAAGCTAGTGCCAGGTAACACCTCCCAGGCAATAACACTGATTGACTTTGCAACTGCAAGGCTACTTAATGCTAACCAAGCTTGCCAACTGCAATATTCATACTTGCTTCAAACAGACGAGGGTTCTTTCTCCCGTCTTGGACATTATTCCACAGGTATAGATACACGCCACTTGCCTCATTTCCAACAGACCTCTGAGGATGCTTGCCACAGATGCAGGTGAAACGTCAGGTAAGAATGCTGCTGGCATATGGACATACAGCCTGAAAAACTCACAGCAATCCATTGTAGTACCAACTTCATTAAATATGATACTGTTTAGAATGGAGCTAGAAAACCTCACAAACATCACCTGGACGAACCGCACAAATGGCCTTTCCGTGACGCTTGCCAGGAAGGAAGGGTGCCAAAGTGTGCTCTTGCTGATTCTTCGACATTCTCCCACTTGCCCTTGGAGTCACTCCAGCCCCAAGCGTAGAAACACGTTGGCACTGAAATGGGAAGGGAATGCACTTGGGGAAAGGGCAGCAGATTGCTAAGTGATCCGCTGGAAAGATGTGGCAGATGCTGTAAAAGGTAGACCTTCACAGATGGCGCTCCGTATCCATGGATTCTGTAGCCATGGTGTGAAAATATTTTGTTTTCATCCCTAAAAGCAAAGGTTGGCTTTGGCTTCTTCTAGAAGGGACACTTTGACTATACCATCATGTGTAATAAGACTGGAAAGTGCATGGATTTGGGTATCCACGAGGGTCCTGGAACAAAACCCTGAAGGCCAACTCTATTCGGCATCTATCTATCTATCTATCTATCTATCTATCTATCTATCTATCTATCTATCATCTATTATTCAAACTTCTATGCCGCCACTCTCCTGGGACTCGGAGTAGTTTACAAGAACAGGCTAAAATCTAACACAACTTAAAAACAATTTAAAACAAGTTAAAAACAGCAATATCAAAGATCAAAGGTCTGTCAAAACAGGTATGTCTTACATGCCCTGCGGAAAGCCGATAAGTCCCGCAAGGCACGGACTTCAGGTGGCAGAGCATTCCAGAGTGATGGTGCCACTGCTGTAAAGGCCCTGCGCCTGGTTGCTGTTAGACGCAAGGTCTTGACACTGGGAATTTCCAAGAGATCTTGGTCCTCAGAACGAGGGATCTCTGGGGTTAGTAGGGGGTGAGGCGGTCCCTCAGGTCCATCGGCCCCAGACCATGCAAGGCCTTCAAGGTGAGACCCATCCCTTTAAAAGTGATCTGGTGCTCAATTGGGAACCAATGCAGCTGCAGTCAGATTGGGGTGATGTGGCATCTCATCGGAATTCCCGCAAGAAGCCAAGCAGCTGCATTTGCACCAACTTGAGCTTCCGAATCACCGACAGGGAGGCCAATGGAGAGGGCGTTGCAGTAGTCCAGTCTGGAGATGACCATGGCCTGGATCACCATAGCTAGGTCGTCCCTGGACAGGGAGGGGTCCAGCCGTCTAGCCTGCCGCAGGGGAAAGAAGGCGGTTCTGCTCACGGCGGAGACCTGGGCCTCCATCCTCAGCAGAGGGTCCAAAGGGACTCCCAGGCTCTTGACCAATGAGGACCATCCAGGGTAGGCAGCTGGATATCCCCACTGCCCGGTCCACCCAGCCATAGGATCTCCGTCTTTGCTGGATTCACCCTCAACCTGCTGGCACGCAGCCATCCAGTCACGGCCCCGAGGCACGGATGGAAACAATCAGATACAGAGTCCAGTTGGCCTTCCATCTTCAGGACCAGCTGAGTGTCATCGGCGTACTGGTCACACTCCAGCCCAAAACCTCGAACCAGCTGAGCAAGTGGTCGCATAGAGATGTTAAACACCAGAGGGGAGAGAATGGTCCCCTGAGGAACCCCACAAGAGAGAGAGAGGGGACCTCTCAGAGACCAGGCCTCCCCTCTCCACTCACTGTCCACGGTTGTGAAGAAAGGAGGACAACCAGTTCAAAACTGCCCCCCTGCCTCCAACAGCAGCAAGGTGGTGGGTCAAAAGATTGTGGTCAACTGTGTCCAGTGCTGCTGTGAGATCCAACAACACAAGCAGCGCTGACCTGCCCTGGTCAAGCTGGCATCGAAGGTGATCCGTGATGGAGACCAGCACAGTCTCTGTCCCATGCCCCGCACGGAAGCCGGACTGGAAGGGATCTAGTCAGCCAAAGGTAAGAATCATAGTTAGAAAAGAGCACAAAAGTCATCTAGTCCCTCTGATGCTATCCAGGGAGACACCATCCAAGCCTTCCCAACAGATGGCCATCCGGCCTCTGCTTAAAACTCCACCAAACTCCAGGGCAAGAGCATATTCCTCTCTCAAACAGCTCTTATCGTCAGGGTGTCGATTCT